TCCTTCATATGTCTTTCTCAAGAGAAAACTGACAGTAAGTATAATTCCAGTGTCATCCCCCAAACTCCAACATTGTGACCCTTATTTCTCATTGGTACTGTAGGAATGCCAGAAAGCACAAAAGAGCAACTGCCTGTAGCCTGCTGTTAATATAGTTGAAATAACTTGTCAGACTTCTACTATGAAAGCAGATTTTTTTTTCTGCCGGCAGAAACTAGAAGAGGTGCCATAAAATCAGAAATAAGCTATGAAATGCACTTTAAGTTAATACGGAACTGTGTTGTTCTATTGACCTAGCACTCTGAAAAACAAGCAGTGTTGTCTTTTGAAGGATAATAAAACTGCATTGAGGATTTCTTTGTGGCATGGGGGAGAGGAGGGGTGGGCTTGTTTTATTATTATAATTTTGTTACAAAATAAAAGAGACAGTTCTCTGTCACCTCAGTCAGAAATAAATCCTAAAACAGAATGTTAGTGATTTTGATGGTATTTCCATCTTAGCCATCCTAACCATAAACTAGTTGCAGCTTTATGTGTATCATAAGCTCCCTTTTTGCCCCAAATGTGTTTTCCTTATAGTTTTTCTAATTATTTTCTTCCACAATAAGTTAACAAGACATCTCTTTCATAAACAAATGTGTGTGTTTGACATAAGAAAGGCTTTACTTCCATCTCAGAGGACTCTTTTTGGTCAAAGCAGAATAAGGCTTTGTACTGAGTCTTCTTCCCAAAGACTATTTTAATTTTATTACTTTTTTAATATTCAAAAACAAGTCATGGCAGGGGAATAATCGGCTCATTTTTAAGTGAGGCCAATTTTTTTTCTTATTTCTCATTCACTCTTATGAAAACTCAGTCAGAAATTGAAAAGAAAAAAGTTAGAGACTATCTACAAAGCAACATAGAGCAGCCGCGGCGTGGAAAAACCCAGCACTATTTTTTTCAAGTTTCAAATCCTGCCACACACACAAAAAAAGCATTGTATGGAGTTCTATTTTCATGAATTATAAGTATTTTGGATGCACCATGAAATCTAATATAAGCTGGTAAAGAGAATTCACCTTGACCTTGTCTCCTAAGGTACCATTTTGAGGAGAGAGTGCTGAGTTTAGTGAAGAAATGATGGGATGGGGAGGTCTGTTCAGGCCTGAGGGCATTTGGAGCAAAGAGAACCTGAGAGAATTGTTAGTTCTGACTCCATGACCCTGTGATTAGACTTTGTTTCAGACCTACACATTGAAACCTTGAGAAGCAGTGAGTCTGGCTTTAGAGTGAAAGTTCTGGATATGACCCCAGCCACATGACAACCCTGGGACATGTCACATCATAAATCTGCCTAAGTATCAATTTTCTCAGCTGTTAAAAAACAAAAATATTCTGCCAGGTGTGGTGGCTCACACCTGTAATCCCAGCACTTTGGGAGGCCAAGGTGGGCAGATCACAAGGTCAGGAGTTCGAGACCAGCCTGTCCAATATGGTGAAACCCCATCTCTACTAAAAATAGAAAAATTAGCTGGGTGTTGTGGCACATGCCTATAGTCCCAGCTACTTGGGAGGCTGAGGCAGAAGAATCGCCTGAACCCAGGAGGCAGAGGTTGCAGTGAGCTGAGATCACGCCACTAGACTTCAGCCTGAGCGATAGAGACTCCGTCTCAAAAAAAAAAAGAAAAAAATTCACATCTAACTCATGATGTACTTGGATATTGACAAGATGACTAGTGTAGCTGATAGGCCATCATAAGTTCATAGGATGCTGGTGGATATTTTGTCTTATTTTTTATCAGTGTATTTTCAGCACCTAATATATAGCGTGACTTCAAGATTTATTTATCAAATATTTTAAAGGACTTAAGATTACCCTGGACTGACCTATGTGCCAGACAATCTTCTATTATTACTGGGAATATTCAAGCACTATTTTGTCCAGGATTTGATTAGTTTCTTAGGGATGATCAAAGAGGGCAGTTTTAAAGCTCCTTCAGAGCTAGCTCAAAGTCACTGCTAGCAATTAAAAGAAGGCTAAAAAAAAAAAAAGAATGGGACACTGATCCTCTTTATTCTCCTGGACATTAAAACGTGCCTCAACTTGTATCCTCCAATGTCCCACGTTAAAGTTTAGCTGATAAGAGAGAGAGTTCCAGTGCTAAAACACAGTTTGGAAGTTACTCATCTCAACCACATCCATGCTGTACCAACTGATGGCCCTCTCAGAAACCACACCCTCAGTTTTTGGATATCTGTAGTGTTCAGCTCTGTCAACAGGGCTTAAGAAGGGACTCTAGCCCCTGAGAACATCTGGAGAATCTGGACACCATCTCCATTAACCTGATTCAGTAGCTGTTCCCATCACGCATATCTATTTCAAAATCTGCATTGGGAGAGGGACCATCTTTCAACTGCTCCAAGTTATGATCCTTTTCCCACCCATTAATAAAAGAAAGTGCTTGTCTTCATGAATCCTGAAGTAAACACACTCAGTGGTCTGTGATATGGTTTGGATATATATCCCATCCAAATCTCAAGCTGAAATGTGATTTCCGGTGTTGGAGATGGAAACTGATGGGAGGTGATTGGATTATGGGGACAGATCCTTCATGAATGGCTTAGCACCATCCCCTGGTGATGAGTGAGTTTTTGGTCAGTTAGTTCACGTGAGATCTGGTTGTTTTAAAAGAGTCTGGTACCTCCTCCCTCTCTCTCTTCCCTTGCTCTTGCCATGTGGCCTTTTGTCATGACTGTAAACTCCCTGAGACCTGACGAGAAGCTGAGCACATGTTGGTGCCACGTTGTACAACCTGCAGAGCCGTGAACCATTAAACCTCTTTGCTCTATAAATTACTCAGTCTCAGATATTTCTTTATAGCAGCATAAGAAAGACCTTATGCAGTCTGTTGTTAAGGAAGGATGGGATTAGGCACCTCTATGGCAATCCTAGCCAAGTGCCTTTTCAATCTATAAAAAACACTGCTTCTATGGCACTGCTGACAGCTTCATTCAGTAAATTAGGACATGGTTCACTCATGTGGGTCTTACCATATTACACCATGTTCCTAAATCTCCTTTAAAATTATAAAGTTTTCTTTGGCCTGCCTCCTTTCATAAAAATGTCAGACACATCAGATTCTTTAGACATTTATTTGGAGTAAAGAGTATCAGAATCTTAGGAAATGGGTCTCTGAAAGGAATCATTAATGAATGCTTTGATTAATGAATCTAGGAGTTTAGAAATGATAGCAAAACAACTGTCCTTGCCTTATTTTTTATACTATAAACTTAAAATGCTGATATTCCTGTGTCCATGTTTAACTTCGCTGCACTTGGTCATGTTTCTTCTCATTTCTGTTTTCCATGTTCAGATTTTGTTTTTCATGACCACAGGTCAGGAATAAAAGGGAAAAGAAAATAGAAGGCCAAGGAAGATGAAGCTTATTATTGAAAGTCAGTGACTTGGGCTCTTTTCTTGCTGTGTAGAGACTTGTTTTGAAGCCTCTAACCTAGACGCACACTCACTGCGCAAGCTTCCTTTCTTTGTCTCCTCTTTTTCCTTTTTCACCATTTATGCCTTGTTGAATCTCTCTCTACAGATTTTACAACCCAGCCTCTCCCATAATCATCTACAGTTAACATTTCCTCTGTGGTCCCTGGTAACTTCCTACTCATCAACCCACCGACCTTTCCTTAGCCTTTGTCCTCCTTGACCCTTCCTTAGTTTTAACTACTCTCTAATTTCTTCAAGTCTAATCTTTGCTTGGTTTTTATCTCACAGTTATGTCCTCATTCTTCAGCAATCACTCTAATTCTTTTTTCTCTATCTTTTTTAGTTGTTTCTGTTCTATTTTCATGCCTTCAAATGAGAGCATCCTGCAAGGTCTGTCCACTTTTCTCTCCATTCTTTCCCTCTGTAGTCTCATCCAGTTTCTGTGGCTTTAACTGTCATCTCCATATAAATGACTCACTTTACCCTAAATTATGTCCTCATTTCTAAACTCTCTTTAGCTTCATTCTAATATTCTGAATTTCACAATAGAAATGTCTACTTGAAGTTTTCCCTAATATCTCAAGTTTAACAAGTTCAAAACTGAACTCATTATATTTCCCCTATACTGTTCTTCGTTCTGAATTTGGATTTCTTTTAATGAGTCCCCCATCATCTAAGAAACCTTGAATCACCTCTGATTCAATCAGCCTTGTTTTTCACACTCTGTTTGTAGTCCAGGGCCATTCTAACAATGTCTTCACAGTCTCACTTACTAATCCTCCTTCATCTTCCCCAGTGCCAGCCCCCTAGTTCAAGCTCCTATTCCCTCACTAGTCCCCCTGTCGATTTTCTCTGCTCTCCACTGCATTCTGTCCACCGCTATCTATATCAATCTTCCTTACAGGCCTAAGTGCTTGTGGCAATCCCTTGCTCTGAAATCTTCAATATTATTTTCTTCTCACCTAACAAAGTAGAAACTCTGTCATTAGCCTCAGGTCCCTCCATGTTCTACATCCAACTATAGTTAAAGACTCTTGTGGTCTTTAATTATCAATAGTTTCCAATGCTGCCCACAATGCAAATACAACACCATAAGCCATTCTCCAAGGATGCCCTGCCTTTTGCTTAACACTGAACTTCTGCTCATCAGTTGTCTCTATTAGTCGTGCCAGAAAACCCTAGTTCTCTACCTATTTACATTTTTAAAAAGTCACTCTAGTCATGCTGAAATGGGAGAGTTCCCTGACCCCCCTTACAGGACATGTGAAAGGGGTATGGCTCAAACTCTTAAGGGAGGATGAACATGCAGACAGATGCAGGAGTCAGGCCAAGTGCTTTTCGGCCCCACAGTAGTGTGGAGGGGTGGATGCCTGTGACTCCTGAAGCCCCAGTGGGCATGTTACAGTGCTCCTTTAGCTCTGCTGTCTGCTGACGGCTTAAGTGTTAAGCAGCTCAGTGCCCTCTTGGCACCCGGGTTCTTGTCCAACATCCAGGAAGAATCGGGTCACACAGACAAAATGGAGAATAGTAAATGTAGGGGATTTTATTGCCAGGTGGAGGCTCTCAGCTGGATGAATGGGGAGCTAGAAAGGGGATGGAGTGGGAAGATGATCTTCCCCTGGATTTCAGCCATCCAGTGGCCGATCTTCTCTCTGACCTTCCCCAGCCGAATTCTGCTCAATATTCAGATGCTCCTCTTCTCTCCTTCTCTGTTGCACTGCTCTTCTGTTCCTCTGCTCTTCTGCTTGTCAGCTCATGGAGCCTGGGGCTTGGGGTTTATATGGGTACAGGATACAGGGACATGGTAGGCCAATAGTGTTTGGTTTCATTTAGGCATACCTGTTTTCATTTAGAGCCATTTACATTACCAGGTTTCCAGGCTTGGGGTGTGGAAACAGGAATGCCTGTACCCATGTAGGGCCACAGGTTTCAAGGCTTGAAGGTGCAGCCTTTGCTAGGGAACTGCCCTCTTCTGACCAGTATTTCCCTGTCTCCTGTCCATATCAATATGCTAAGTGCCTGTGAGAGAAAAAAAAAAAAATCTTCCTTGAGGGATATAAAATACTCAATAGATATTTGTTACATAGAATTCAAATGAATACAATTGGCCTAAGAAAATGTTTTGAACTTGCATGTTGAATCACATCAGAGGGATCAAGAAAGAAAAAGAAAAAGAAAAAAAATGAAGAAGAAAGAGGGTCGTGATAGTGAAAGGGTGTGGGAAAGAGATGGAGTATTAACTTTTATTTGATGAATGTGAAATTTCATCCTTAGCATCTTGGCCCAATAAACAAATGCCTCCTTGATTCTATCTCGTTAGGGAGGCTACCATGGAAAAGCCTGTCTCTAGTGGTTTCAGAGTGTCACAAAAAGCTGTGTGTCCTCTTAATAACGGAAACAAACATAAATAGCAAGATTCAAATAAGCGTATGGAGTGAGCTATCTATTGTTGAATTTAGTACTTGAGGGCTTAAGATTATGAAAGAAAAGGACAGTTGTTCATTCTTCGTATTAAATAATTATACCACATATCTAAATCAGGATTTCTCAAACTTGACACTGTTATCATTTTGGGGGAGATAATTGTGGGGGGATTCCCTGTGCCTTGTAAGGTGTTCAGCTATGTTCCTAGTCTCTACCCACCAGATACCAATAACATCCTTACTCCTTTTCCCCCCAACTATGCCAAATAAAAATGTCTGTAGACATTGTGAGATGTCCCCTGGGTAGCAAAATCTAAATTTACATAAAGATACATATGGCTAAAATGCATATAATTTTCCTGAAGCAGTGAAGACAGCCATGCTAACATATTTTCCCATGGAAAAGCAACTGACTCTTTTTTGGGTTCTCATTCCAAAACTCCTCCTGTTTATATTCCTTTGGGCTAAGCTGCTAATCAATTTGTATTCTGTAAAATTATGCATAATTCTGTGACATCCATAATAGTTGACGGCTACGAAACAGACAAGACTTACAGACACCATTCAAAACCACCTCTTATAATGAATATACAAATATGGAAGGAAAGAGCCCAGTGATCCAAACTGTAATAACTCTTGATTGGGGTCTGGTGAACAATTCAGCCATAAACATCTTCTTGTTATGCCAGACCAGACAGATGCAAAGAAAAAAAAACGACATCATGCTAAAAGACATGACTAGAACTAGGTTTCCTTTTGAACAGGCTCTCACATTAACTGTTCTGTGTACCAGAAGCTTCTTTTTTGTTGTGTTTTCATTTTGCCTTTATGCAAACACGATACCAGGCTACAAATGCACTTAATTATTTTCAATGGTAGTAGCGTTATCATTTGCAATACTCTCCTAAGGGGTAGAATGAATCTAAAATGTGAAATAAATTTCTCGTAGAGTCATAGAGAGGCAGTAATTGTTCGGGAAAAAGGGCAGTTGTTTCCTCCTCATATCCACCTGCTGAGTGACAGATGATTTGGTGACTGGGTAAAACTTTGATTCTCATTTTACAAAATCCCAATCTTACAGGTTACCAAAATCCCTTGGAGAGGTTACTACTTTTGTTCAGTTACAGAAAAGTGAAGCAAAAAAAAAAAAAATTTACCTACCATTCTAGGTACCTGTCTATCTTTTTAAACAATCAATAGCCACTTTCCCCAGTCTTAGCAGACATAATACCTTTTCTCGTAGCAGACAAATTTCTAGAATTTGAGTCTTAATTTGCTCTTTTTGCATAACTTACCCAAAGAAACCAATCTCAGTTTTGATTAAGGCAATAAAATATGTTTTTGCTATTCAGATAAAAGATTTGTTGAAATAACCCGTGGTGGAATGGTCAGTGGCAGCTGTGCTAGTCTGGAAGGTAAGGCTGTTACATGTACTTTACACAATTACTGTCAGTATTGGATATGTGTCAAAGTTATTTAAACTCAACTTCCTTATTTAGCATGTATTTATTACAGAGCAAGGCTAATTTATTACTCATGATCTATCCTCCTTACTTATTATTCAGCTTCTTATTTGTGTATAAAGTGATGTAGCTTCAAATTTGTGAATCCACACAAAGTGACATTGTGCAGTGCAACAGCAGTGTGCCCGAGGCCTCATTTCATTCTCTACTTTCTGCATTGCTGATTAGTCTACTGGCAACTTTCTAAATTACAGGGTCTGTGAACTCCTAAGTTATGATGGTTCTTTGGATGTTAATTATCCCCATTCATATACCGTCTTTATTATACATTTGATATACAGTATGTATGGCTGTCCTTTGTATTCTGAGAGAATGCCACTAATGGCAATTCCCAGCTCTGTGGCTGCTGGTGCCAAAAACAGTGGTATGTGCCTGGTAGCCCCTCTGTCACATGCCCAGGCCATTCAGGAGTGGACAGCACGCAGCCTGCATGGAGCTATTACAATCGTCTGCATTTTCTCCTCCATCAAAGCCACCAAGTTTATGGTGTTTTAACAAACATTTTATGCTAAGGAAAAGGAAACCAAATGCTTTTTTTCCCTTCAAGTTCTATTATGGATTTTGGGGGGGGAAAAGCATTATTTTAAATCCTGAACCTGACTTTGATTCTTCTTTCAACCCTCTATTCATTAAAAAGGAAGCAATTGATACCAGTTTATTTTGAATTCAGGGTTCAGGATAACAGCTTTTATTCTTAAGTATAAATACCTCCTTTGACTCCGGTTAATTGATACATTAGAGTAATGGTTTTCTTTTATCTTTTTTCTTTCTTTTTTTTTTTTTTTTTTTTTTTTTGATAACAAATTACCCAAAAAGTAGAATAAGGATACCTACTTTCCTTCTGAGTTGACCTCCTCAGATCTTGAGTCACATTTGTTAAGTTATGATGTCCAGGTTGTTTTATGTTAATTTACTTTTTAATTGACACCAAAAATTTGTATACATGTGTCCTATACATGATATTTTGAAATGTATATGTACTATGAAATGGCTACATTGAGCTCACTAATATATTATTACATCACAGTGGCCAGTTTGGATTATTTTAAGAAGTCTGTGAAAAACACAAAAAGAGTTTGAAGTAGAGAAACAAAGATGTAAAAGCCAACATATTTAAAAGGTTATCATTTATTCCACATTTATTATGCATAGCACAGTGCTACTGTGCATTTTACCTACTTTGTCTCATACTAACCCTCCCAACAAACACATAAGTTAGGCATCATTACCCCCCATTTTATAAGGGCAGAAACTGAAGATCATTGAGATTTACAAACTCACTGAAAGCCGTAGTTTTAAGCAGCAGAGTTGAAATTCAAATAGAGGTCAGAGGTCTCCTTAACTCCAAAGCCTTTTCTATTTTTTTTTTTTAATCCTAGTGTAGAGAAATGCGGATGATGATTTAAGAATGACCTTTAAATATAAAATGTGTTATTTTGTAAAAGTCTGCAACTACATATTCTTTTTATTCCTGGGAATAGAAGAAGAAAAATAAAAAGAATGAATCTATTTGTGCCATGAAAAATTTGAGTTAGTTATAAGAAGTAGTTTCTTGATAAAAGTTGTATGTAAAACTGGCCTTCCCTTGAAATGGAGAAGTCCAAGCAGAATAGATTCCACATTGGGCCTTAAATTGTAGCATAAATCCACATTTACCAGTATTTAGGGCAGAGATAAAAGCCTAATCTAGTAATCTATTGCTGTGTAACAAACTGTCCCAAAACTCTGTGACATAAGACAACAGCCATAATATTCTGTGACATAAGACAACAACCAAAAATATTCTGTCCACAGGCTGTCCTATGTGATGCGCTGTACGAAATAGATAAATGTTTCTAAAGTACATGAGAAGTGAACTCTCTCACTATTGTGCTCATGATTCTCTGTGCCTGGAATTTGGGCATCACACAGCTGTGAAGACTTGTCTTTACTTCCTCCTGTCTGAGGCCTCACCCAGGGTGGCTTGAATGTCTGGAGATGGGCAGAATGGCTCAGTTGAGGTACTGTTTCTAGGGCTTCTTTCTGGCTGTTGGCTGAGTTCCTTGGATCGTCTCCACATGCTATCTTTGGGGACTGAAATGGGCAAGATGGCTTCCTTACTCACATGTTTGTCCTCTCGACTGAGATGGCTGGAGCAGTTGAAAGATGCCAGTCATCTCTTACTCTTTCTGTAGGTCTTTGCATAGTCTCATCATGTGGGTATCTTGGACATCTTCACAGCATGTAGATACCGGAGTAGTTGAACTTGTTACATAGTGACTGACTGCCAGCAAGCATTCCAATAGAGCAAGGTGGAAGCCTTACTGATTCCAGTAACCTAGTCTCAGTAGTCACACCGTGTCATTTCCATTGCATTCTTTTGGTCACACAGATGAGCCCAGATGCAGTGCGGAAAGGGCCTAGATAGGGAAGACATGGCTTATTGCAGGCTGTTTTTGGAGACCAGATACAACAAACCACATAGAGTTCTAGGGCTGAAAGACAAACAAGTAGCTGGTTAAATATGCTCTACACATAAACCATTTATCTAAGGGAGAAAAACGAATATGCTAGAAATAGACAAATAGTCTTCTTGGCCACCAAGGACAGTTTTGTATATGGATTAAAGGTAATGTGCCCCCATAATGTTCTAACGTCTCCCTAGGCAGGAAAAATGTCAGAAGTCTTAAGCGAATTACATATTAATAATTTGTATTTTCCCATATATATGGGTAAAAATTGCTTAGGGCTATAACTTGTAGCTTTCAATTTGCATCTTCATTGCACCAGGGAAGGCTGCTGTGTGACACATATGTTTGACTATCCTAGCTGAAAACAAAGTAGTCTGGGTTTAATTCTATTGGCAAGAGACCAGCTTTTCATAATTTTAGCCTAGTGAATTGTTATGGGCTATAATTCAAATGTAATGATCTGACTCATTGAAATGATAAGATCCCAGCTTTAGGCAGATATATTGTTCCTCCTCCTAAGAAAGTCAATTATTTTAGACATCAGGTACCCCTCAACTTTTCTTTGAATAGAAGACAGATACTGTCAACTGGTCCTAGCTAGGGCAAATGTTTGAGCCATCAGAGCTTATGCGAACATGTGTAGTTCTGTATTTGAATCTAGTGAGCCCATCGCTAATGATGGCATACAGTTCAGAGATTTCACTGTTGACAAAGACCATATGTTCCCCTAGCAGTTTCCTGTGTAATGTTCTGTTTACTGTATATTCAGCTGAGGATCTGAACAGCTTCACCTGGAGCAAAATATTCTGTCCACAGGCTGTTCTATGTGATGTGCTGTACGAAATAGATAAATGTTTCTAAAGTATGTGAGAAGGGAACTGTCTCACTAAGACAGCCTTAAATGAAGTAACTTTGCTGCTAAGATACAGTATCTTAACCTGTCTGTGGAGACTAGGAGAGAATTTCATTGAGTCTCAAAATAAACAAAACAAATGAAAAGCTAAGACTAATTTTAAAGTATAACCAAATGTCTTCTGTGAAAAGATAAAGGCTACGAATAATGACTTTGTTTTCTTCTATTTATTCATGGTCAGGAAGGACATATTTTCCTTCCTTAATAGCATCTTGCTATCAAACCTCTTGAGGTTAACTTGGTTATGTAGTCTTTTACTTGGAAAGGAGAGTAGTTATATCTGACCAATTTAATTAATCAGAAAATATGGAAACAACAGGACAGGTTCCTATAGTGGTTTGCTTCCTTATCCCTCTGTTCTGACCATTCAAGACCAAAGGTATGCAGAGTTCAATGGAGGTAGTGGTTAAGAGAACACATCCTTAAAAATGATTCATCAGGGTGAGATTCTGGATCTACTGCATAGTAAAATACAACTTTGCCAAGTTACTTAATCTGTCTTAGCTTCAGTTCCTTCTTTGTGGAAAAAAAAAAAAAAAGATTGGAGGCATGATAACAGCATTATATACTTCCTTAGATAGCTGCGAAGATTAAATGGTATGATTCATTCAAGAATTCCACACAATTCCTGTTATAAAAGCACTGAATAAGAATGAGCTCCTATTAAAACCATTAGCATATTTTTTCTTACCTATAAATGAACTGTGAGTCTTATTATTCAAACTTATAATTACTAGACTAAACTGAAAATCGAGGGGATGAAAGTCAGAATCCAGGTGTGTCATAAAGTAAATTATGTTAGAGTATTTTGAGATGATACAGGTCTGATTTTTTTTTTCCATAATAAAAAAGTATGGGCAATTAGTGAGATTTGGCTCCTTTATCGATTTCCTGCACACTCTTACAGTTAAAGATCTGACTTTCAAGTTCCCTGTGGAATCAGCAACACAAATTCCAGTGGTGGTCAGTTCAATTTCATGCCACTACAGAGTAAACTTAGGATAAACTGGATAATGGGGGTATAGGTGGATAAACATCAAGATTACCACAACTGTATATCCTGAATAATTAACCTGTATTGTAAAATAAAATGTTGTTTCTTGGTTTTCTTGAAAGAGCAGTGTGAGAATGAAATTATTTATTTTCCACTACAGCCCATATCTTAGGGTTTTTTGTGTTGTTTTAATGAAAATGTATGTAAAGCATAGCTCTTTCTATGTAGCTTATATAGCGATTCATATGTAAAGTGTAGCTATCCTTTTCAGTTATAGCAACATAATACAATATTTACAGAGATGCAGTAGGATGAAACATTATGTTTCAAGTAGTTCATGAGCTTAGAAGACAATGGTTTAGGTTTAAACACTCTTAGCCACAGAAGTAAGGAAAATAAGGGGAAAAGACCTTCAAACCTTCATGTGCTTCCGACTGACAAGGCCTCTGAATAACTGGAGTTGCCCCAAACAGTGCATTTTCATCCTTCACTTAACTGAAGCCAGTAGATACTCATTTTCTAGAACTTGGTTCTGAGACATCACTGAGGTCCGAAGAAAGATTATTCTGTACCAGTCACAATGAGGTAGACAGGTGATAAATAAGAAATGGAGATTCATTTTGCCTCTGACTGTTTCATTTTGCCTGATTGTTTCAAAACGGATTGTTTCATTGAAATATCCCGAGAGAGGGCTATTTGATCCCTGTGTGTTACACACATACACACACACATCTATATAGTAGGTGTGTGTGTATATATAGGAAAAAGTGGATATTTAAAGTACCAGTACTAGAAACAGTAGAATGTGTTTCCACCTTATCCGGGGTGTTACCTTTTCAGTGCCAGCAAAACTGTCACGAGGGAGAAAACACTGTATTCTGTGGAGTGTGCTTGTCATTGACAATCTCATCACCCCTGGATACTTCAAAAAGTTATGTCAGATCTTCACTGTCTACAAGGGTTTTGCTTTCATGATTCAGACCTGGCCCTTTCACTGCTTGCCTTTCGGGTCAAAAGCCGGAAAGTCAGCCTCTCCAGAAGTCTGATTAGCACTTGAACTTCAGGAGATTTATGGCCCAAGGCTTGATTTTTAAAGCAGTTTTATCCAAGTACAGATCATTTATTCTGTGGACAGTGGTATTTATCTTCCACCTTTTCCATACATTTTGTGCCAAAAATGTACAACTTAGCTTTTATTTTTTGTTGTTGTTGAGAGTACATTTATTTGAGAATGTTAATGCCATCATCCTCAAGTGAAGTATATCATCAGCTTAATCAGTTTAATGTGAATTTTTTAAAAAATCTCTAACATTTTATACAAAATTAGAGAATCCTGACAATATACTAATTATGCTCTGAGTTTATGACCTCTATTTTAGAACTTGGGGTCTACTATTTGCCCTACGTTTATTATGTCTATTATAAAACACGCAGTTTTCGCAAGTACAGAAATTACAATGGGAATTAGACCTTCTTGCCCTGAAGGAGTTCAGGGTCTAGTCCAGCACTGTCCCATAGAAATATAATGTAGGCCATACACATAATTTTAAAATGTCTAATAGTCCCATTAAACAAAGTAAAAAAAATTAATTTAAATAATGTATTT